CTTAAAAAATGTCCGTCACTGGAGACGGGTACTTTTGCTTGTATAAAATATAGCTGTTCATTTTTATGACGTTTTCAACCTAAGTCTCTTTATAGTTATGAATAGACTCTTATGATAACCAAAACTTTATATATATATATATATATGTGTTGTTTTACAACCGATCTTGACATTATGTTTAGCTTCCCTAACTGCAAATTGAAAGATTTAAGTTTCGATCCACTGAACACGATGACGCTGTGGTTGCGTTATAGAAGTGACTGTCATTTCCGTTACATCATTCCAATCGGTCAGCCAAAGCTATTGATGACGCCCACTGGCCGGTTTCCTCTGGTCATAAGTTCAAAATTAGGGGCGGTTATATCAGCGCTCTAAAGGTCTCTGACCTGACCATTTAGCCCATTTAGCCCATGTGTGCATAATTTATTGATTTAAAGCAAAAACCTTCCTTACATAAAATTGTTCTCTCTAATTAGAAATGATTCTTCTTTCTTTTTTTTTACAATTTACTGAGTGAAATTAAAATATGAAAATATTTTATACTGCTCCTGCTTTTGTTTGTATTTACCAAATGTTTTAAGCATAATGTAATTAATAATTCCCTGAGGTAATTTGACAAAAAAGTTCAGAAAAAGTTAATTACAGAAACATTTCATTATATGTAGTAAATATTAATAGCAACGACACGCGTATTACGTCACACACATGTACAAAATAATTAACTATATTTAATAGCTATTTAACACCCCGGTGGCTCAGCAGTAAGCGAGTGGGCAAAAAAAAAAAACCATTAAAAATCTGGTTTCGATAATACCCGTGGTGAGAAAAGCACAAATAGCCTATTATGTATCCTGGTAATAAAAAACAAAACAAATATCTGATACTTTATCTACAATTATATTGATCAATACGAAGTTACTCTAAAATTAGACAGCTTTATAAAATGCATAAACTTTAGCGATGTATAAGAGTGAACTATCTACTTCGTAACGTTTGCCTGTTTCAATATCAAGACGAGAAACAATTGTAATAAACCGAGTTATTATTGGTTAATGAAGACAGATAGTTTTCTGAAGTCTGTATACTTTTCCGTTGTTTTTTTCAAGGTTATATATCATCTTATAATGAAGCTTTGTTTCGGTTCCATTGAAATCTATCATAAGTTCATCGTTGTATCATTTTCAGCATCATGGCTATGCGATAGATTATGTATGTAAAATGTACCTTTTAAATCCATTATTGAAACTTAATACTGGCCTTTCCAGGAATTTGAATCTGTTTTTCGTTAATGAATTACAAAGTAGACACATGACAAGTGTTAGCGTAATATTTCTTTCATTCTAAACAATTATTCATTGTGTGAACTAATTATTTAAGACGTCAGGATGTTGGCTAAAATGTATCGTGAATTAATCATTGAATAATATATATATAGCAAGATGGCAGGCTCTCAGCAATATATTTTACATATTCAAAAAAAACATTAAAAATATGACGTAATTAATAAGCATAAAATGAAAAACTGCCAAAAATATAATTAGTACTCGTTACAGAGACATGCTCAAATACGAGAGTTCTCAACGCTCTACATTTTAAAATGATGAATAAGATGGATATTTTCTTAAGGATGAGCTACCAAAATATTACAACTATTAGCAAACATGAAGGATGAATCATTGTTTAAAATATGCGTTAGAGAAGTTTCTTCTCACTAAACTCTTTAATTTGGCATCATATTAGACAGCCACTGTTTCTCAAGCCCAAGCCAGTTTGTTACAAAAACAAAGTATGTTTTCTACTCTACTTTGCACTCATGATTCGGTTGTAGCATGTTTGTAACTCGTTGATACAAAGTATTTACTGAACTATCATGATCATTATATCCACCCTATAAGGCTAAAGTTAATTTTGACTATGTAATAACTGTTGCTCATCAGATATAATTCAAAACCATAACTAAATAACAAAGGATTAAACCTAGTATCTCATTAATGATACAGAAAACGTTGCAATAAATCTATTATGAATAAACGCTTTCTAAAATGATATAAGGATACCCAGCTTAAGATAAAGTTCTAGCAGTTAACATATATGCGATTTACCAAAGTGCGCCAAAATAGTTTCCAGTATCTCACATATTTTATTTCTATTAATCAAATAAGCTTCTTATCTCCAACAAAAATGAAGCCAGATGTAGAGCATTGTATATATTGTATATATCGCACACTTTGCAGATATTATCCTGTCTATAATTTATATGTAATTTTATTGTATTTGTCTGTTTCAGGAAGTAAATTTAATTGCTGCAAAATTACTGCAGAATCTGATAAACCAGATGGGAATCGCTCTTACCTTTATTGTCCGGGGGTGAGTTCTTGTGCTGCTTCCAAAGTCCCCTGAAAACGGACCCCATTCATCAAGTAAACTACGCAGTTCAGGACTTTCCATATCCACAATTCTAAAGGCTGTTATGTTTGTTTTTCCGTACTTAAAGTCTTGAAGGTCGACTGTATGTACGTCCTAAGCACACAAAAGTAACATCAATTTATATGGTACTAATTTGTTGTAATCTAATTTGAAAAACCATTATCATTGTGAAGACATGATTTATTTCTATAATAGAAGCGTCACTCATATTTATAATAGGGATCTTAATACATCTACACTTATAGAATTTAGAGATTAGTTATAGAAAGTTATAAAACTTTATTTATATATATAACTGTTTTCCATGCGTGTCCTTCAGAATAACGAAATTGATAATTTGGGACTTGGTTAATAAAAAACTGCCACTCGGTGGCCTTGCAGTAAGCTTAAAGGCTTATACCACTAAAATGGGCGCAGTGCAGACAACCCGTTATGTAGCTTGTTTTGTTAATTTGTCTTGTGATTAAGCACAAAACTACACAATGGGCTGTCTGTAATCTGCTCATCGCTGGTATCGAAACCCACTTTTTAATGTTATAAGCCCTCAGACTTACTCCTGAGCCTCCAAGGGGGCCCGTTATGTAGCTTTGTGCTTAAAGAGAAATACAAATACAACATTAAAAAACAAATATATATATTTAGTGTTTTGTGTTCCTGTCTATTTAGTGGGTTTTTGCCATTAATAGTTCTAAACAAGTAGAGGTGGTAAAGTTAGGTGGAATTACTATATTAATCTTAATTTAAAAAACTAACTCTATCTTTAGATTAACCACTGTTGTTATTATATTAAAGCAAGAAACGACTTTCAACTGGTTGTAGTATACCGAAAGTCATATATTAATTTAATCTATTCATTCAAAAAAAAGATCACCCCCCCCCCCCCCCCACCCCCGATGGGTAAGTCTGAAGGCAAACGAAAGATTATGAAGTATAATTTTTGGGGATTAAAAAAGGATGAGGTTACTAGATGGAATTTTTAGAATCATAAAGAAAAGGAGTAAAAACGTATTCATCTTATTAATATTGCCATCATCAATGTCTTTTGAAAATACAGTTCTAAATATCATTGCTTTTCTCATCTGAATTTATTTTATTCGAATTTCATAACCTGATATTTTCTTGGCATAATATTTGATGAAGGAAAGACGATATAATGCTTTTACGTGAATTTTGTAAATTATAAACACACACGTGAACAAATGTACAATATGCTTGAAACAAATGATGTCACTATGTTTATAATGAAATTGAGGGTTATTTCGAAAAGTCTGGTGCTACATGTGGCATTGATAAATAATTTACCTTCAAGAAAATTCATATAGATAATAGGTCAGAATTAAGCAAAGTAACTTTAGATCATAAATTAAATATATACCACTGTTTTAAGAATAGTAAATAGAGTAATAAAGTCCAATGGTTTGATTTTTGTTAAGAAAATTGCGGATGTGTTTCCAGTTAAATATTATTATTTCAGAAGTTTAGTCATTTCCTCTCAGAAAACACAATTAAACATTATTATTTCAGAAGTTTAGTCATTTCCTCTCAGGAAACACAATTAAACATTATTATTTCCGAAGTTTAGTCATTTCCTCTCAGGAAACACAATTAAACATTATTATTTCAGAAGATTAGTCATTTCCTCTCAGGAAACACAATTAAACATTATTATTTCCGAAATTTAGTCATTTCCTCCCAGGAAACACAATTAAACATTATTATTTCAGAAGTTTAGTCATTTCCTCTCAGGAAACACAATTTCTCTTGTCTTTAAACTTACTTCTAGTATGTACAAAAAATAAAAGAGTATATAGAGAAGTCAGAACGATCACACATAACTTCGTAACATGCATTTCTATTCCTTCTTATACACCTAGAGTCGCTTTACGATGAAAACAATAACCTACTTGGTTGGCTTGCTGATGAAGTATGGCAAAAGAATAACAACTATACCAGTTGTATGTGTTTCGTGGCTTTGTTTGTTGTTGTTCAAGCTACTAGACTTACCAAAGAGGTGATCAAATAGCTGTGTTTCTCTGTCATCATACCGACTTGCTGAGCCTGAAAAAGTTGAATTTGTAACAGCAAACTAAGAGAAATATAACAATACATAATAGTGGCAGTGTTGAAACCGTTAAAATTATAGTACTGATCTAATATTTATCGGGTTGTCTTATTTTTCACACGCGTTTGTAACTTGAATATAAACGAAAATTTTTAGCCCTAAAAATAATTGAACTAAATAATGATTTATTTGTTTTTACACGTCACAATATATTCAAGTTCTTCAAATATACGAAAATAATATTATTATTTTAATACATATAACATAATATAATTGTACATACCGTTCTTAAGCACGTAAGGGTCATTCCTGACGTATATAATACATATTGTTCCGAATACTTCTATAATTTTAACTCCTTCTGGCAGACGTTTTTGTTTTTAATTTAAACGAAATTAAGCAAGCATTATTCTTTGTTATATCCTGTCGTCATTCCACCAGAGACCGTTCAGCAATATGAGAAGAATGATTTCTATAGTATTGGTTTGGTCCAATTTATTACAATATTTTAGTATTCGGATATTGAGATACATCTTATTTTTAGTTGTTTGACTCGGTATTGTCATATATTACAAAATTGCCAGAAGGAGTTAAAATTATAGAAGTATTCGGAACAATATGTATTATATACGTCAGGAATGACCCTTACGTGCTTAAGAACGGTATGTACGTTTTCTCGTTTCACATCCAATACAATCCTGTTGTCGCCAGCACTTTTTATTTTCCAGAATAGGTCTCTGTATGGCTCTCCTGGTTTAAACTGGTAGAGATGTAATCGCCATCCATTTTTTTGAGCTTCTTTGAAGAAATCTTGTAAACGTATGACTCCTGTCACATTCGAGGGGAAAAAAAAAGTATTCAAATATATTCTTAACTTTGTTTAATGTTCATAAAGCGTACAAAAGTTATTGTATGCATTTACTTTTTGATTCTGTAAATATTTCTGAGCGGAAATAGAATAGAAAACAAAATTGAAATGCGAGTGAGCTTTATAAGACATAATACGTGTGTGAGATGTATTATAATACAATAGTGTTTGATTGATAAGGTTTTCTGATTAAGAGGATTATCATTATCGATGTTAAATTTCTTCGGAAATTCTCTTCGGCTTTTTTGCTCGAAATTATTTGATGTACGTTTTTCATTAATATCACGATTTGCAAAAATATATATGTACATCTCATATTTTATACAGCAGAATCAAAATTACAAAACAGCATGGAGTGAATGTGGGTAATATACACCTGGAAAAAAGTTAAGCACCCCCAAATATTTTTCAGGATTGCTTATGGAAAATAAGGTTTAATTTTCATGATGTTGAGCAATGTTCATAATTTCAAACATAATTAAAAGGATGTGAGCGTTCAGGTGTGACATTTAAATCAGGCGCGTTTTTTT